AGAGTTTAGTGTTTGTCCGTCTTACTTCTAAAAAATTAGAAAGAAAAAAAGACAGAAATCACCTTAATATATGTTTTAAAAATAAGAAAGTTTAACCCTTTCATCTGTGTAAGTAATTAAATATATATATATATATATATATTTATTTTGACTCCTTTTTGCTCACTCTCTTTGCTTCATGATTTACATTTTTTTTACAGTTTACAAATGGGTTTGGAACATTGTTGGGCTTGGGGCAGTTCATATTGTACGCAATATATTACAAGTCCACAAAGAGACAGATGGAAGCAAGACAAACAGTCAAGGGTGAAAGCCGTGCGGAGTTAGGAGGTGGTCAGAAACGGACATCCCCACAACCATAACATCTCGATCTGTATGATTGCAGATTTCGTTATTTTTCAGTATCAATTGATCCATATAGATAAATATGTCGCTCTAGTGCGAAGTAAAACCAAGGTTTTGAAAATCGAACGAGAAATTAAACCGTTTTGACTTTCGGTTCACAAGTTTAACGGTTGAACCGGTTTAACCGAATGAAAAATTGAGTTGTTCGAATTTTGAAGATATATGTTAAATATATTATAATGCAATTTTTTTCATAAAGCTAGAAGTAGCTCTAGTGGTTGGAATGCTTCTTTGTGTCATTTTGCACCAGGATTCGAATCTCAAACATGTCAAATTTATTCATTTATATATTTCTATTATAATAAATAAATCTCAAGACAATATAAATCAATTAACTTGATTCAGATCAAGTGGTAGAGGTTTGTCCAAAACATAAAAGAGAGTCAATGTTTGAATCTCGTGAAAGTGATTATCATTTTTTCCTTTACTCTTGCAATATTCTTTAAATCATAGTGTTTGTAACTCATTTTACGGAGGAGTTTGTTGCTCTGGTGGTAAAGGAGTTGTGGAAATCTCAGGAGGTCTCGTGTTCGAGACCCACCACCAGCAACAAACCTTGCCAATTTTCTCCAAATGGTTGGTTCGATCGGTTGAACGGTTTATCGGTTCTTATCGATTTGGATGATTTGGGTGGTTTGAATGGTTTTGATTGGTTTAACCCTTTAAATGGTTTGAAATACTAACTCAAACCATTTAAACCAATTTTATGACCAATATCAATCTGACCAATTCAACCGACCGATCCGATCCAATTTTCAAAACCTTGAGTAAAACATAAGGGGCACAACCATTTAATGTCCAACGGGACCAACCCCATCCCGGTATCATGAATATTTGAAATGTTACTCTAATTAATGTCCTTATTTTTTTATGCATATGAATATATTATACAAAAAAGAGATAATTTTTTTTAAAAAAAATTTCTTTATTCAATTCAAAATTTAAATTTAAAATTTTTAATTTAAAATTTTAAAATTTTAACTACTAAATCACCCATTAAAAATCTAATTAATGTACTCATACTATAAGTGCAAATGCAACTCCAAGCAAGCACGGCCCAAAATCTTTAATCTTAAGAAAGGTAGCGGTAGCAAGCACGGCCCAAAATCTTTAGTCTTAAGAAAGGTAGCGGTGGATTGGTTCAAATAAATGTATATATATTTTATCCTAATGATGGCCGATTTCTTGTTAAAAGAAAATTTTGTTGTTTTGAATTTTGAGGACCACACAAAGTAAATCAATAATCTTGTTCGGCATTTTCTTTTTCTTTTATGGGCAGAATCGTTTCCTTCAAATCAAATCAGGTGAGCACTACCAACGAAGGGTTGGATCAAGTGGCAAGCGACTTGTTCCAGCTTAAGCAAAGTCTCGAGTTTGAGACCTTGTGTACGCAACAGCTTTCGTTGGGAGACTCACCCACCATTCTGGTGCGCCACAGCTGGTCGAGTTCGGAGTAGTTGGGGCGAAACCCCGGATATCGGGTGGGTAACCAAAAAAAAAAATCAGGTGAGTACTTGTTACTCTCCCCGTAATATGCGCGACAAACGCCCCACAATCGGCAATTCTTGCGCAGCACATTTACCACATATTTGTTTTAGTTTTCAAGTGTTTTAATTTTTTTCTATTATTTATATTTTATAAATATAAATTTATATTTAAAAATTTTATAATTTTAAATTTTTTTAATTTTAAAAGGATCTTAAATAATAAAAATTTAAAAGTTTTAAATTTTTACTTTTCATAAAT